GTGTGTGTGTGTGTGTGTGTGTGTGTGTGTGTGTGTGTGTGTGTGTGTGTGGATATAAATTACAATACTACAGTACAGTTATGTATTTATTTATTTTTATTTTTTATCTTTGATGCAAATTACAAACAATAGGACAAATACAATAAATCAAAGATACAAATTACATAAACAGTGCTTTGGAGGGATAGTTCACCCAAAAAGGAAAATTCTGTCATCATTTACTTACCCTCAGATTCCAAACCTCTATGAACTGCTTTCTTCTGTCGAACACAGAAGAAGATATTTTAAAGAATGTGGGTCAGCAAACAGTTGAAGGTAGCCACTGACTTACATAGTGTTTTTTTTTTCTTCTTCTTCTTCTTCTTCCCCATTCAATGGAATTCAATGATTATCATCAACTGTTTGGTTACCATTCCTCAAAATATCATCTTTTGTGTGAACTGTCCCTTTAAGCTTCAAGTAAAACAGATCTATTTAAAACTAGCATTCAAGTAAAAAATAATACATACATTTAATAATTTCCATCGTATTGCGCTTAACTCTATTTAACGTCGAACTCATTGTTTATTTTTTCATCGTCCCAACGTGTCAGTAACTTAAAGCATTTCTGCACAGATATATTTACAAATCTCAATATAAACAATATAACAAAATCTTTAGCAATACACTTTATATCATCGTCACAATATATACTGTCATATCGCCCAGTTCCAGTCTTTTCCATTAATGGTTCTTGAATGAAGGAATGCAGCACTAAAATACTCCTGCACTACTATTCAGCTACTGCATCTAGAGCCCTAAACAAAAATAATGTTTTAGGTGATTTGTGAGCTTCCAGTCTGAATTGTAATGTGGAAAACCTGGGTGCCATGAAGTAAAACATAGGCAATTAACAGCTTTTTCTATATTGTCATACTTCAAAAAGAAATGAACTATTATGAGCTGATGGTTTTTAATTAATCGCTTAAAAAGACTCACAAATCAGTCCTGAACTTGGCCTAGCCACTTACTCTTTCACTAAATTGTCAGTTCTTGATTTAATTACTAAACATCATTTATACATTCTTTCATACAGTGCAAAAAAATATATTTTTTAGACCAGTAATTTGTCTTGTTTAACAGTAAAAAATATCTAAACATCATTAAAATGAGATACATTTACTTGAGGAGGCAAAATTGCATAAGATATTAAGACCTTACAAAAATGAGTTACATTTAATAAGGTCTTTATATATATGATTCCTCAAAAGTGCTAAAAGAATCATTAAGGAACCACAATCATTAAGTGAAATTGGAGTCAGAATGGTCAAATTCCCATCCCTCTTAAAAAGAAAGGGTAATCAGAAGACTGTTTTGTCGCCTGTGGGATCTGTTCTTTGTGTCAGTGACGAAGCCCTTCATAAAGGTAAATAAAAAGGGCAGCAGTCATTTCTGGCGAGCAGATATCCTCTGGAGAAACAGAAGCCTCACTGTTTTTCTCTCCTCATTTTACACCTCAGATTAACACTGTTATTGAAATCAGCTCTTATGGAGCAGAAGTGAGAGGCACTAAAGATGTGATTGCCAACTGCAGTGTATATGGCATTGTTCTGTGATTTTTATAAGACGCCTACAGTCCTCTAGGCTCGTTTACTTTTGTTCAGCCTTGCATCATTTACATTATACTCATTTACAATATTACTTACAAACAGTTGTGTTAACAGGGTAATTAGCAGTGTTTGCTAAGAAAAGCTTAACTATTATTTTTTCTCATAACTACATTACTGTTCAAAAATGTTTTTTCTTTGAAAGAAATGAATAATTTCATTCAGCAAAGATGCATTAAAGTGATAGTAATGACAGTAAATACATTTATGATATTACAGAAGATTTCTATTTCAAATAAATGCTGTTCTTTTGAACTTTATATTCATCAAAGAATCCTGAAATAAATGTTTCAGTTTCCACAAAAAATATTAATCAGAGCAACTGTTTTCAACATTGCTAATAATAAGAAATGTATCTTGAGTAGCAAATCACCATATTAGAAAGATTTCTGAAGGGTCATGTGACACTGAAATGATGCTCAGATTCACCTTTCCCATCACATGAATGAATTAGATTAAAAAATATTAAAATAGCGATTTTATTTTTTAAATTGTTGAAATACTTCACAATAGTGCTTCACAATACTGTTTTACTGTATGTATGATTAAATGAATGCAGCCTTTGTGAGCATAAGCAGCGACTTTCACAAACCAGGAAAAAAAAATCTTACTGACTACAAACGTTGAACTGTAGTGTTAAGTGGAATTAAAGCATAGTGGTAAAGTATTAAACTTTAACATGCATGTAACTTATCCTGCATTGTTTATAAAAATGAATAGTACTTCAAATCATACCCAAGTGATCAAAATCATGCAATTTTTATTATTATTATATGGCAGACAATAAAAACAAGTCCCATAGAAAAAAAAAAACATTTGTGTGACCACATAGTGACATGATAAAAAATACTTAGCAACCCCTTAGCAACCCCTTAGCAGCTGCATAGCAACGTTTTCTGGCTTTTGCACAGACAAAAATAAACTAGTTA